TTCTAGCCTTTGGTGTTTTTGGTTAAGGATTGGCATCGGCTATGGAATGTCCTTAGACTCATCTCCTCATTTTTAAGTTCTCTCCAGCCATCAGGAACCGTGAAGCCATCTATAAATCGCCCCCTCTCCTTGTCTCTAAACTGGAATCGGTCTCTTATATGGTGTCTGCACTTTGTATCTTGTGCCATGGTGACTCCTGCACATATCTTATTACCCTTTCTATTGCTGAGGGCAGGACCCACTTTTGTCTTTTATGTCCTTCATCTTCATTCATCTTTGTGTTTGTGTGTAATATAGAGGAAAGGAATAGTTGTAAAATTCACTGATTAAAAAAATACAGTTAGAGAAAGAATTGATTCTATTGCAAACATAGAACCAAGACCTCCCTCCGCCCCCTCCCACTCAGTCTATAGAAAAGAGTTTGTGTGGTAGATGCCACATTTTGGGAAGAATTATCCCGAAGTAGCTATCTTGTTTTCCACCCCTGCTTCAAATTGATCTCTCTACTTCTGCCTAAAACAACAAGTATTGTTGGCCAGTGAAGTTTAACTGTCTTTATACTTTGGACTATCCTCAGACCATAATTGCTGTCGAACCTGGAGTGTTGGTGCGGTTTTGTAGCATGGTGCTCTGGAAAAACCATTAGCTTTGCAGTGTGGGTCCTTGATCTGGCTCTTCTGTGAACTAGCCAAGGGACCTTGGATGTATAACTTGGCTCTCCTCTCTCTCCTTCCCAAAACAAGGGACTGAGACAAGACAATCTCCGAGATTCCCCCTGTCTCTGGAGTGTTACAATGTGATTCTTTTGGAGACTTGAATAGGTTTACTTGTCCAGGAGTGGGGCTAATTTCAGGTTAATCTGTTGCAAATCTAAGAAGGATAATGACTTTTCTGTGTCACTCATGCCTCATGCTTAAGTTTTTGAGGTTCTTCTTATTCAAGACAAGGATAAAGCTTCTAAGAATATAAATGTTAGAGATTTGGGAACTTGATTGAATCGAATTACCAAGTGATTCCCCACATGTATTTCTAACTTTTGTTATTATTTATAGTGCTTGCTGAAAGCTTGGCTAACCGAAAAAGAAGAGGCGTTAAATAAAGTCCAGACGAGCAACTTCAGAGACCAAAAGGAGCTAAGCATCAGTGTTCGCCGCCTGGCTGTAAGTGATGTCATTGTCAGCATCTGTCTTGTAAGCCTGTGATATTTTAGTGTTTTACATCAGTGGTTAAAACCGTTTAGAAAATCCAGAGTAGGACACATTACCCAACACTGGAATGCTGCCGTGGAATGGTCTAGAAGAGTCTTATGTTTTAGCATCAGATACTAGTAATTGCAAGAGTACATTCTCCTATAAAATATATACATGTTTACATGTTCTGACTGGGAAACAGGAAGATAAAGTCTTGTGAAAAGGGAGTGGTCTAACAAATATCTGAAATACTAGATTTTGAAGGAAGACATGGAAATGAAGCGTCAAGCATTGGACCAGCTGAGTGAGATTGGCCAGGATGTGGGCCAATTACTTGATAACCCTAAGGCATCTAAGAAGATCCACAGTGATTCTGAGGAACTGACTCAGAGATGGGATTCTCTGGTTCAGAGGCTAGAAGATTCCTCCAACCAGGTATCGTTTGCTCCAGATAATATGTTGTGCCATTAAGTAGAAGTTAAATTTCAGGTTAGTTTTAGTTTTTATGAAATAAAAGAGTAGTAGCTAAACTAAAAAGTTGGTTCCTTATACCTGGTTTACTATAAAACTGAAAAATTGACATGAAAATGTCTTTTAGTTTTCTAAAGTAAATTTTAATGGATCTTAAAAAAAGGATTAATATCCAGTGATTTAACGCTTGCTAATTGATAACAGACATGAATCCATTAAATGATCTTTAAATTTTATGCATTTGAAAATATTTTAGCGAATTGATAAAAAACCCCAAACTTTGGTTTGTACATGAATGTTCATAGCAACATTATTCATAATAGACAAAAAGTGAAATGACTCAAATATACAGTAGGTGGATTGATTAACAAAATGTGGTATAGACATACAATGGAATATTTTTTGGCAATAAAAATAGTAAGTACTGATATGTGCGATGGCATGGATGAACCTTGAAAACATACAAGTAAAAGGAGCCAGTACCAAGTTTATAGGCACCATGATTCTATCTATATGAACTATATAGGATAGACAAACGCATAGAGACAGAAGGTAGATTAGTGGTTGCCAGGAGCCAAGGTGGGAGAGAGGTTGGGAAGTGACTATTAATGGGTACTGGGTTTCTTTATGAAATAATAATAAAATTATTCTGGGAATAGAAAGTGGGCACGGTTGCATAAGTCTGTACACTAATAACCATTGCATTTACATCATCAAAGAAAGAACTTCCTGGCATATGAATGATATCTCAATAAAGCTGTAATGAAACCTAAAACTTTGGCTGCTCTTATTTCAGGTGACTCAGGCTGTAGGAAAGCTGGGGATGTCCCAGATTCCTCAGAAGGACCTTTTGGAGACTGTTCACATAAGAGAACAAGTGACCACCAAAAGGTCTAAGCAAGAACTGCCTCCACCTCCTCCTCCAAAGAAGAGACAGATCCCCATGGACATGGAAGCAAAGAAAAAGTGAGAACAGACAGACATTTTCCAAACCCAGGACCCCACACTATGTATTTTGTACTCAGCACCTATGTCATACTAATCACAAATGATATGCAAATTTAGACATAATTATTTTTAGGAACCACTTACTACCCCTGAGTGTTCTGAGTATGCTACTTCCCACTGGCTAAGTATCTGTGTTGTCTCGCATGGTTTCATTTATCCTGTGTTCAACCTGAACTTTGTGCTGACACCCTTGCTTCTTCCTTTCCTATTATTTACCTGGAGGATATGATTGCCCATGATCCCTCATTTTTTTCTTTCTTTCACTATCACCATTCTGACAGTCTTGCTCTACTTACATCTCCTTATTGTTTGTGAATCTGCTTTCTTCTCTCAAGTAAAAAAGTACTTAATCCAGGGAAGTAATTAGTCTCCTTTTTTTTCTTTTTTTTTCCCCACCCCTCATTCTTTTTTCTTGTTTTCTTTCTGCCTTTGTTAATTCTATTTTCTAGATTCATTTATAGATTCTTTGTGTTTGGCTTGAAGATTCATCTTTAGCATACGCTATCTTTTCATCTTATTGATTCAAAATAAACTGGGGATCTTTATAAGGGAATCAGTCAGCCCTGGCATAGATAGAATGCCAGCTACCCTGTTAAGCCATGCTGTGGCCCAGGTACCTCACATGTACTGTAGCAGGTAGTCCTCAAAACACCCTTGAGTAGAACTATTGTTCTCTCCCTTTTACAGTAGCATCCCAGTGCTCGGGTAAGTGGGCAGTTAGTTTTGCCTGAATAAAAATGATGTGATTTCACCAATTTAGCTTTTGTCAGACAAAGCAGGATTCCAGTTTTACCAGATGATTTTCATTTTGATGACAGGGCTGTGCGTCCTCCCAATAGCACCTCCTTGCAGGACCAGTGTACCTCCTTGGAACTGTTGCTTTTGGAGCCAAGACAGCAGATGAGGAAGGTGCTTTTGATGTTCATATTGTTGTAGACCTTTCATTTCATGAGTGTTTGTATTCTGCCAATATATCTAGCAATATATCTCTCCAGGGCTGACTCTGTGCTTTTGGAAGCTGAGAAGGTTTTAAAAAACTAGGGTGCATCAGTAAGTTCTGGTACCTATTCCAGTGTAGGTGGGAAAGGGAGGATTCTCCCAACAAGCAGTTCAGGGGACACTAGCTGGGTGTCCTACAATTAAGCTCAATTCTGACACTTCCTACTGGGAGACAGCATCGGATTCTAGGTTAATGGTTCAGTCCAATGAGTTGTTACCGGTGCGTCTAACTGACTGGCTATACATTGGAGGTTCCTAAGACCTCCTCTGTGGGTTTGATTAACTTGTGAGAGTGGCTCACCCAAATCAGAAGCATTTTACTTACTAGACCACTGGTTTATTATAAGGGATATAACCCAGGAACCGCCAGATGGAAGAGATGCCTAGGATAAGAGAAAAAACACAGAGCTTCCACGCCCTCTCCAGGCGGCAACTCTCCTGGCACCTCCACTTGTTCACCGTCCCCGGAAGCGCTCTGAACCTCGTCCTTTTGGATTTTTACAGAGGCTTCATTATCTCGGCATGATTGATTAAATCATTGACCATTGGTGATTGATTCAACTTCCCGCCCCTTTCTCCTCCAGAGGTCAGGATGGTGGGGTGGGACTGAAAGTTCCAACCCCTAATCACATGGTTGGGTCTCCGGGCACCCAGCCTCCATCTTTAGGCGGGGTCCAAAAGTCAGCTCATTCACATAAAAAGTGATAACTGTTGCTCTCATCAGCTAGGAAGTTTCAAGGGTTTTAGGAACTCTGAGCCAGAAATGGGACTAAGACCAAATATATATTTCTTACTATGAATCACAATATCGCAAGTGCATAACTATAAGATCTTAAACACGGCCTGTTGTATAATTTGCATTCTGCTGCAAGAAACACAGTACTGTACCTTTGACTTACTGAGGTCTCATTTCATGTTACAAGGAGCCTGGAGGTAGGGATGGTCGTGCAGCAGCCTGCACATTGTCTCTGCCTTCCTCAGCCTGATGGCTTTCACCCCCAGGCTTGTCTTCTCAGGGTCCCCAAGGTGCTACTGAAGCACGGACATCCTGCACAACCTGCTTTATAGGCAGTAAGGGCAGTTTTTTCTTATTTCTCTCTCTCAAATCAGGGAGACCTTTCCTGGGAGACATCAGCTAAGTTCCCCCAGCCTCACTAGTCAGGACTCAGTCACTTGTCCATGCTCTGGGTGCTTGGGAGGTTGAAGCTGCCCCGCCTCTCCAGCCTTTGTAGTTGTGCTCTAGGGACTCCGGCAGCAAGGAGGAAGTGTGGGGAGGGAGGTGTCTGTTGGGTAAGCAACCAGCTGTGAGGACCACAGTTTTCTAGTTTACTGGTTGATTGAGGTAGACATTCCTTTAGATGGTTCCTGGACAGATAGAAGTTTGAGGATGTCCAGTTCATTCTAATAGAAGGCAGTGAAATCTCAGTATTAGAAATTAAGCCCTAACTCGGCCCCCTCTCAGTCTACCCATGTGTGATGTGATGGGATCCAGAGACTTCCTTGAAAATAAATGTAGCCATAACACAGCTTTGCGATTCAAGCTAGTTCAGTCTTTCTGGGGCAAGACAGAACCATACCTGCTCTTTTTAGTATTTGAGGATAGGCTTCATATTCTAATTTCCCTAAAGTCCAGGGAATTCTTTACCATTTCTATTATAAAATGGCTTCCAGACCCTTAGAAACCACTATCAACTTGTGTTAAAATGAGCTGTCCAAGCGGATATGGGCCTTAAGTAACTGCTGGGCACAACTTCATGTAATAATACAAGCTTCCGAAATGGTGGTTTATTGTCCCTGCTCTTCCCTTGGTGCCGCTGGTGGCTGTTTGCCACTGTAGGGACAGCCGTTTCCTGTAATCTAGATATGGCTAAAGTGACCTGAGCTTTCTCAGAAATAGACTAAGTCTCAAGGTCTTTTAAATGTGTGACCTTCGGGTGGTGCTCCCCTTCTCTGAAAGAGTAAAGAGAAATCAACTGATAAGATGACAGGAGGAGTGTACCTTGGTTTGAGCGGCACACTGACCCCTGGTGATGTACCTGGAGTGTCACGAAATCTTTTCCAAGCTACAAAGAAAATTTACGTGATTGAAAAAGCAAATATCCATATGTTCCTCCTCCTGTTCCTCCTCACTGTGGTTTTCACTAGGAAAACTTTAAGCGAAGTTTCCCAAAAGAATCGGGAAGGACAACCCATGCTCACCTTAAAGTGCCTGAAAGTATCCAGAGGTTGTTTTGAGATGCCCTGGCAGGAGAGTCTGATAAGAGGACAGACGGCCTCAGTTGGACTCGCAGCTCCATCATTTATTAACTTTGTGGCCTGCATCAGTTATTTAAAACTCCCAGAAGCTCAATTCCTTCATCATTCAAAGGGAAGTAATAGTGTATTCTTCATAGGATTGTTGCGAAGAGGCCTTGAGTTAAGAATACACACAGAACGCTTAGAAAAGGGCCTGGTGGATGGCCAGCAATCCTTGAATGTTTCCCTTCTTGTTCCTCCTCACTGTGTTTTGACTTCCCTTCCCAACACCTCTCAAGTCTGCACATTTTCCTTCCTCCCCACTGGCATTACCTGCTCTCTGGCTCCTGTTCCCACCACAGCCCTTTCTCGGGTCTTGCCTCTCTTGATTCTTCTCTGTGAGCACCCCAGGTAAATAGGATCTTGTCAGTCCTATGCTTTAGATCCTTCCCTGGCTCTCAGTTGCCCTTTGTTTAAACCCAAACTCTTTCACCTGTTCTCTAGGGCTGTCTAGTAACTGGTTGGTGTACTCCCTGCCTAGTACTCACCGTTCCAGCCGCATCTAAATACTTGCGGTTTGCAAAGTGTGGTCCTTCCTTTCTTTGTTCTCCCTTTGCGAGGAAAACTTCTGGCTCATTGCTGTTCTACTCCAGGAAGCTATCCCTCCCTGGCTGGATGAGGAGCCGGCCTATGAATTCCTGGAATTAGCACCTTGAAAATTCCTTTTGCTATTGCCCTTCATTTTACATTGCCCTCCCTACAGACTGGGATTGTCTCATTTACTTTCATGTCAAGAGCCCAGACCAGTGCCTGGCATATAACAGGCTCACTTCAGAAACATGCTGAATTAAAGAAGGCATGAACGTTAGCACTGTCCCTACTTGTTCTTTTTTGTCATTATCTTACCAAATCTGTTTTTCATTATCTACGAGCGTTTATAAAAATACAAGTAATTTCTTTAAACATTTCAGCCTTTTAATATTTATTTTCTTTACTTATTAACACGACACTATTATTCTTCTGTTCATACTTTGAATTGTGCACACATGATGTTATGTTGTGTGGTTTCTGTATTTCTGGGTTGGCTCTTTTGTTTGTAGTCTGAGGAGTGTTTAAAACGCTTGCTGGATGGGTGCTGTTCTCTTTCTTGAGCCAAGTGAAACAATAGAAGGAAACGAATGACAAGTGTTAACATCTGAATCTCAAATCAGGTTTGATGCCCTGAGTGCAGAGCTGCTGGACTGGATTTTGAAATCAAAGACTGCCATTCAGGCCACAGAGATAAAAGAATATAAGAAGATGCAAGAGACTTCAGAAATGAAAAAGAAGTTGAAGGTAAAAACATAAAACCAAAAGTACACTAGTGAATAAAATATTTCATCAGGATAGATTTACTTTGGCATAAAGATGGGATGGGACCCAGAAGCTTCCTATACAATAAATGTAGCCATAATGCAGCTTTTAGAACATTGTAGTAAATTTTGAATTGATTCAAGCTGGCTGGGATCAGATCCCTGTGTGGAAGAGAAATTTTTTCTCTTCCTCCTTAACAACTAAGTTGTGTAGGAAGGAACACTTACTTCCTAAGGTGATCTAAATATTATTTCTATTTTTAGCTTGATTAGATCTTTTTTAAAAATTTAAGTTTGTTATTGTTTAAAGTATCACACGAGTCTCCTTCTTCCCCACTGACCTCTCCCCAGCCACTCCCACCCCCCTCTTGATTAGATCTTAATCTGGTACCTAATAATTGTGACTTTGTGTGTGCAGAAGACGTTTTGCTTTCTGAATGCAGCAAACTACAGGAGTACCTCCTTATGAACAGTTATGTGCAATCAGCCACAGCCCAGGAATATTAAATGGAGAATTCTAGAAATAAACAGTTCAGAAGTTTTAAATTGCATGCCGTTCTGAGCGGCATGATGACATCTCGCACTGTCCTGCCTCGCCCCACCTGGGGCGTGAATCCCACCTTTGTTCAGTGTATCCACGTTGTACAGGCTACCCTTCTATTAGTCATTTAGCAGCTGTCTTCGTTATCAGATCGACTGCCGAGGTATCACTGTGCTTATGTGCAATAATGCTTATTTTACTTAATAATGGCCCCAAAGCACAAGAGTAGTGATGCTGGCAGTTTAGATATGTGAAAAGAAAAGGTGGGTATAGTGCAATAAGGTATTTGAGAGAGAGGGAGACCACATATACATAACTTATATTACAACATATTGTTATAATTGTTCTATTTTATTATTAGTATCTTGTTAATTCTTTTTTGTGCCTCATTTATCGTAGTTGTGTATAAATAGGAAGAAATATAGCATATATTGGATTTGGTATTCTTTGTGGTTTCAGACATCTCATGGGGATCTTGGGAAGTATCCCCAAAGATCGGGGGGTTACTATATTTCAACTTTCTTTAATGTATTCTCTTCAGAGAAGAGACACCATTGTTTAAACACAAATGCTAATCAAATGAATGGAGCTTAGCTCTGCTGCTTTGTACCCATATGTGTGTGACTGAAATTGTGACAGGGGGTTGCCGTGATTTCTGTCATTGGTGGTCATTAAGCCTCTGTACATCCTTTCATCAACTATTTGGGCATCTAGAGCAAGCCTGTATTGCATGTACATTAGCAATGGAGTTTGTCGGTCAGGAGCTTGGGGAATGTTTAAAAATTCCCACCTGGAGAATCCCTAGTCTAGTGGTCAGCAAACTGCAGCTCGTGAGCCACATACAGCTTTGGCCCCTTGAGTGTGGCCATGAAGTTTCAATCGCACTGTACGTGCGCGCCCGCACGTGGTATTTTGTGGAAGAGCCATACTCAAGAGGCCACAGTTTGCCGACCACTGCCCTAGTTCAATCCACCACCACCATCAAAGGTATCAAACATCAGTTTGTATAAAGGGGGTAATCATTTTTCTCCGGTTTGATGGTGACTTTTTGCATTAGTACTTAGCTTAACAAAAAGAAATGGTATTTCTTCAACTCTTGTTATTTCTTGACCTTTGACTAAACAAGTGGCTGTGTTACTTAGTCACATGAAAGTCTGTGTGGATCAAAATAGGAAGGCTGTATTTATTTGACAGTGCTTACATGTATCATCAGTTAGAAGGGGCATCCTTCTCTGGATTGTCTGGTTGAAATAATATGGGTTTCCTACAAGTTTTTATTGAGCTATTATAGATACATTTTGAGTAGTTAATATCAATTGGGAATTGAGGAGATGGAAAAATTTCAAATACTGAGTGTGCACACAGGTGTGTATGTGTGTGTATGTATTCTCGTGATCTTATTCAGCCCTTTCTTAGAGGTTGTGGAGTTTGTCTTCACAACCCAAGCACAATTAAGCCATTTTTAAAACATAAAGAACAAAATGCTTTAGTTTGGATCCTAAAGTATGTTGGAATTATTTATAAATTATGTATGGATTTATGTTGATGATTGAAGTTTGCAATACACCCTAGACTTAATATAATACCAACAAAAAATACTGCGGCTCAAATTATTTTGGTCTCTTTTTCTTTATTTTTTTAAAAATGATTTTTATTGATTTTAGAGAGGAAGGGAGAGGGACAGAGAGGTTGAAACATCAGTGATGAGAGAGAATCATTGATCAGCTACCTCCTGCATGCCCCCTACTGGGGACTGAGCCTGCAACGCAGGCATGTGCCGTTGACCACAGTCAAACCTGGGATCCTTCAGTCAATAGGCCGACATGGTATTCACTGAGCCAAACTAGCGAGGGCTGTTTCTTATTCTTGTTAATTTTTGTTCAGTGATCTCTGTCTGAGCACATTCAGTTCACTGGATGCAAACCCTTATTTTTATGCTGTGGCATATGTGGAGGCTATTATATGTGAATAGTTAGATATCCTGGATCTAAACCACTAATTTTACTTATTTCCTCTTGATAGAAACTTATAACTATAGTGTAAAATTTTAAAAAAAACCACCCAAGTTTTTTATTGTTTGTTTTAATATACCTTTTAAAATTTAATCATCTCTGGTGCTCTGGAAAGTGACCTGCAGTTGCATAGTTGTGTATGGTAGTATCCTCTTAGGTAAACAGTGTGACACCTAAAGGGAATGTGGAAGGGACTTTAAACACTAAAACTTAAAAGAGTATTAGCATTACATTGAGAAGAAAGTTTGCAACATTCTTATATTGAGACTTTATTTCCAGGGAATAGAAAAAGAACAGACAGAAAGAAGACCCAGACTAGACGAATTAAACAAAACTGGACAAATCCTTTTGGAGCAAATGGGAAAAGGTGAGACCCTTGATTTTTTTTTTTTAATGTGTTTTTAGATGGTGGCATTGCATCATATTTACAGTTTGACAAATCAAATATTTATGTTTTGATACTCTAACCCTCTTTGCTAGAAGAGTGGTTTTCAGAAACTTTTTTGTCAGCAAAATGTTTTTTTCCAAATGAAATCTGATGCTGAGGCTGATTTATCAAACTGATAAAAGCAAAGTTGTTCTGCTTTTAGACAGGATCAGGGAACCTAAAACTCTGATATCTCAGCAAAACAGTTACATTCCACTGCATAGATTTTTAAAATCTTCTCCTTTGGGGTATATGTTGGGAAATTTTTTTTGTGTGTATGTGTGAGGTGGGGAGTGGTTATAAAAGAAAATTTTTTGCTTTGGCAACATCAGAGAGATAAAGTTACATTAAGGCATGAATTTTGTGACCTAATATCTGCTTTTTTAATTTCATAGGAAACCTTTTATTCTTTGCATTACCATTTTTTGAGCTTTGGTAGGACTGGAAATGCATTCATTACAGAACCCTGATTCTATTTATTTAATATGTTATTAAAATTTTTTAGGGTGGGGTGGGAAGCTGAGAAATGGGGGCACTGATCTGACTAGGGATTATATGTTCTGGGTTTAATTTTATCATTTTCTGAAGGTGTTTGCTTTTTATTAGTGAGAAAATAAAAATGATTTTTTAAAGTTCCCCACTGTCGTTCCATGTTATCCATTATTGTAATTTTATAGAATTGCATATTATTTCTCCACATGTGGTTAGTGCTGAAAGTCCTTCAACAGAAATGAGAGCACAATTGGGCGATCCTCTCTGTTCCCCTTTCTCCTCCCCTAGAAATTTGAAGTAAGTCCTAGAACACTGAAAATTAATAAGAGGATGTTTTTTCTAGGGTGTAATCTGGCCATAGTCTACCTAGGTAAGGAGGCAGGTAAATGATTCAGTTCAATTAGAAAAGCATATTCAAATAATCATGTCAAGAATATGTATTTTATCCTTTTTAAGTAATTAGTAAAATGGGGAGCTATCAATTTGGCTCTGATTAGTCCTTTACGAGTTGGGTGTTCTATAGAGGTAGAAAAGTTATTATTTTGTGTCTCTGGGAGCAAAACAATTATTTTAAAAAAACTGTGTGTAGGTTTCCTTTTTTATGCTGCAAATTGTACTTTCGTTATTACTTGATATTGGTCCAACCTATATTATCTCAAGCTTGGAGGAGGGAGATTTAAATTCTGAGAATTGGTTTGAAGGGGCAACACAAATGGATCATGAAATACTGTCAATGAATAAACAAAGGAATTGGAGACGCTGCTTCGGCTTCCCTAGTACCTAATGTGAGCACCCATTGCCTGTTGTCTAAATGAGCAGCGATACTTTTTCATCTCAAAACCGTGTTTACCTGCTTGATTTTCTTTCTTGTTTTGCACAAAGTGTTGACATGAAAATGAAGTGGTTGACGTTATTCTTTTGTCCTCTCAGAATAAAATGACCTGGCGGAAGCACAGCCTCCGTTTCCATCGCTCAGTTAGTTGTCAGGAAGATGTTAATGTGTTTTGCCTATGACCCCCATTAACAGGGATGATTGAACTTGGACTGTGGTGTGAATGTCTTGCATAGGTCTAATTAATATTCTGTTACCTGCCTGACAGACAGTGAACTTCAGCCACTGCCATGGGTGATGTATTCAAACCATGTCAGGTGTGCATTTCTAATTTTCAGTGGATACAGGATGTTATAGGAATTTTTGAAATTGCATCGTTTGTGGGTCTTAAGTGAACTTTCATTGTACTTGCCTTTTTTTCCTCAGTGCTCTCATTACCCTGGATTTCGATGGTACATATTTACAAAGTATAATTGTCTTTATTGGCCTCCTGTCTTCCCAACATACATGCTCTCCTGTGCAGATTTCTCATACTTTTTCATAGTACTTTTACAGATTTTATATGACAAAAGCTATTATTATATACTAGTGGCCTGGTGTACGAAATTTGTGCACAGGGGGTGGGAGGGGTGTCCCTCAGCCCAGCCTGCACCCTCTCCAATCTGGGACCCCTCGGGGGATGTCTGACTATCTGTTTAGGTGGGATCGGGCCTAAACTGGCAGTTGGACATCCCTCTTGCAATCCGGGACTGCTGGCTCCTAATCACTCACCTGCCTGCCTGCCTGATTGCCCCTAACCACTCTGCCTGTCGGCCTGCATGCCCCCAACTCCCCCCACTCCCGGCCTGCTTGCTCCCAACTGCTCCCACTGCCGGCCTGCTTGCCCCCACCTGCCCTCCCCGCTGGTCTGCTTGCCCCCAACTGCCCCCTGCTGGCCCAGTCTAATTAGCATATTTCTTTTTATTAGTATAGATAGAGGCCTGGTACACGGGTGGGGGTTGGCTGGTTTGCCCTGAAGGGTGTCCTGGTTCAGGGTAGGGGTTCCCTTGGGGGGCAGGGCAGCCTGGGCAAGGGCTGTGGTGGTTTATAGGCCGGCCACACACTTATTGGGGTGGAGGTCCCCACTGGGGATGTTGCCAGCCTGGGTGAGGGGCTGGGGCAGTTTGCCAGGCTGGCCATGGCCCCCAGCCACCCAAGCTCCCAGTGGATGCTGGCTGGAAGCAGGTATCTGGGATTTATTTAGCTTCTATAATTGAAACTTTGTTGCCTTTTTTGGAGTCCTCAGCCGGCCGGGGCAATTGGGAAGCTTGACTTCCTCCATCGCCAGTGCAACCAAGCCTCCTGCTTGCTCCAGCTCCGTGGTTGCTGGCCGCCATCTTGGTGCCAGGTGACCCAAGCCTCCCTCGGCTCAGGCTGGCTCCGTGGTGAACCGCCCACAGGCCCCTCCTTTGGTGGCCGGCCCAGGCGGGAAGCTTGGCTTCCTCCGTCTCTGGGGGCAACCCAAGCCTCCCGCTGCTCCAGCTGGCTCTGTGGCCACCATCTTTGTTCCACTAATCTGCATATTCCCTCCTGATTGGCTGTGGGGCATGCAGAGGTAGGTCAATTTATATATTTGTCTATTATTAGAGTAGATAACTTGATTATTTCTATGAATATCCTAACTCTCAAAAATGTGAGATAAGCCCTAGCAGGTTTGGCTAAGTGGATTGAGCATCGGCCTGCGAACTAATGGGTCTCGGGTTCAATTCTGGTCAAGGTCACATGCCAGGTTGCAGGCTTGATCCCCAGTGAGTGGCACCCAAGAGGCAGGTGATCATTGGTTCTCTCTCATCATTGATATTTCTATCTCTCTCTCCCTCTTCCTCCCTGAAGTAAAAAAAAAAAAAAAAAGTGAGATAAGCAAAATTATATATAAGATAAACAAGTCCTGGGGATATGTATCAAAATAAATAAGTAAAACTGTTGGGATATTCCCGCTTAAAAGTAAGTATAAGATGCCAGTAGTAAGCATAATGGCATTTTTTCTGAGGTATTTCTGAAGTAGATAATATTACTGCTGCATTGATGTTTTGGTGTTTGCTGGTCTGTGCGTGGCGTGCCGGGTACGCTTGCTGATGCTTGCGGGTCTGGATGCTGGCTGACTGTCCCTACACTCCCCAGGCTGCTCCCAGCACTGGGAATTCTTGCTATTCATTTTGCAAATCCTATGACACTGGTTTGGTCACCAAAAACTTAAGCTGCCTTCTGGTTTTTGTAGCCAGCTGCCCTTTTTCTGATTACAGAGCATCTACCTTCTGATGTCAGAGCCCCAGACACCTCCAGACAGTCCGTTTTATTTCCCTGGCTTAGGCTAGAAGCTAGCAGAGTTCCAGGATGCCAAGGATGCAAACACACCTTGCATAGGAAAGGCGGTGGCTGACGTTCTGAGCTCTACTGATGGTCCTTTTTGTGATAGTCACACCACTCCTGAAAGACCATTTCAAGCTCCCCCTCTCTCACTTTGGTCAAGCAATTGAGCAGTTATTTTTAGCAGCAGCAGCAGCAGCATATTATTGCATCATTATAATTTAGATTTTATATTTATTTATTTATTTTTATTTCATGACTATATATTTTTTGTTTTGTTAAAAGGGACTTACGGAATGATCATTATATGTGAGATTACCTCATTATTTTGAGTATGTTAGAATCTTTATAACAAATTCCAAACTTTAGGATATATGAAGTGTTTGCTTATTTTTCATGTCTGTGTAGAAGGCCTTCCGACTGAAGATATAAAGCATATCCTGGAGAAGGTATTATCAGAATGGAAGACTGTATCTCAGCATTTGGAAGATCTGGCAAGAAAGATTCAGCTCCAGGAAGATACAAACACTTACTTTAAGCAACTTGACGAGCTTGACAAGACCATAAAGACAAAGGAGGAGTGGCTAGAACATGCCTCCTCTTCGTCATCCCCCCAGCAGGCCTTGCGGAGTGTGAAGGTAGAGAGACACCATGCGGATGTGAAAGAATTCTGTGCCCAGTCCTGTATTGAAGGGAATGCTCCTTGTGTGATGACCATTAGGTTAATTCTGCTCTGATCAACTTTCTGTGAGGACGTCCATCCTCCGGTGAGTTGTGTGACCCGATTTTCTCGTCCACAGCGGGAACTGACGAGTCTCCTTGGCCTCCACCCCAGAATTGAAACGGTGCGTGCCAGCTGCGCAGCCCTGAAGTCTAGGCCTTCTGCCCCCGATTTTGTCCAGCAGAGCTTTGAACGCCTCCTGGGCCGCTACCGATCTGTGCAGCAGGATTTAGAGGATCGTCAGCAACAGCTAGAGAACGGTAAACGTGCTGTCTCCTGCATCACCTCCCTGTTCGCCCTAACTGAAGAATTCCTCCCAATATTTGGGCCTTTAGCACATTGGCTTGTTTTGTAGGACACGCACTCTGTTTTCCTCTGTGCCTGCTACTGTTCCAGGTCAGAAAGCACATTCAGGCTATTTCCTGGATTCACAATTGTTTGTGAAAATACAAACAGCTTTCACCTGCTCTAAAACCGTGTGGTAACAGGGCATCAGGCTTTTATTAGAGGGTGCTGTTCCTCCCTTTCCTTTAAGGAGGCCAGTCGATATCATTACGAAGGGCTAAAAAGAAGGGTAAGTTTACTTCAGTTTGCTCAAGCTGGTTCAAGTTTTAGCAGTCCCATTTTCCCTTTTAAAGGAAACCATGTTCCTGGTTTGAAGTCTGAACATTTTAAAAGGAGTTTTTACTTTTAGAATAAACCTGGTTTTGGCAAGTTAGCTGTTAAAAGTTTTGAGGGCATATTCCTCAGGTAACGTTTTTTCTCTTTAGCCGTTGTTTAAGTCAGGAATTGTGTTGTATTAGGTAATGTTATGGGCAGTGCATGTTAAAAAGCTGCACATTTAACCATACCCTTACCTGCAGCAACTGTAGATTGTGTATTGGTGAGCAAATGTGTCACATGCCCTTCCTTCTGGAAAGGCACTTAGACACCATACTCTTTGTTCATAGAATTCAGTTAACATGGAATGTCAAATGTTTGACATTACAACCTCTTTTTGAATCTACTGTTACAAAATATGCTTTCCTTTTTGATAAGGACCCATAGACAATTGAAAGGTTTAGTTACTTAAAAATTCAATTTATTTTTATTTTTTGGGGTTTTTCATTGTGGCAAAATACATGTAACATTAATTTGACCACTTTAACCATTTTTAAGGGTGGAGTTCAGTAGTGTTAAATCTACTCTCATTGTTGTGCAACCAATCCCCAGAGCTCATTTCATCTTGTAAAACTGAAACTATACCCATTAAACAAGAGTTCTCCATTTCCCCCACCCTCTAGCCCTTGGCAACCACCATTCTACTTTCAGTTTCAATGAGTTTGACTACCCTAGATTCCTCATATAAGTGGAATCAAGTAGTTTTTGTTTTCTTGTGACTGGCTTATGTTGCTTAGTATAAGATTCTCTAAGTTCATCTATGAACTTAGCGTAGCATCAGAATTCCTTTCTTTTTTAAGGCTGAGTAATATTCCATTGTGTGTATGCACTACATTTTGTTTAGCCATTCATTTGTCGATGGGCATCTGGGTGTTTCCACCTTTTGCCTGTTCTGAATAATGCTGCTAGTTTTACTTTTGCTGCTAGCTGGTTTCATCACTTTGTGCTTCAAATAAGTTTACCCCTTTCCACACAAGCATTGCTTATCTGTGGTTTTTACATTTGCGGGTGCAGTAGAGTTCATTCCAGTTGGCGTTTGAAGTCATTGTTTCTCAGGGTGCCTGCAGCAGCCTGGTGTGGTGTCCCATATAGTGTCCACCACTCTGCGATGGCAGTCCGTCTGCACACGTGTGCTTAGAGGAAGCCTGGCTGAAGGGATCTTTGTTTTCTTTTGTTCTTTGCATAGCTACTGGGGAAAAAGAGATGATATGAGACAGAGAAGCATTGTAGTACCATCTTCAGAGAGACATTTCATCATGACACAATGAAGAAAAATGATAGTGGGTTAGTTAATATTTCAAACATCAACATCCATAGGAATGATGTCACTGTCTGACTCTCAGAGATGCCAGTGAATGATTTCAGCAGCTAACAGAGACCCTTTTAAATTTTAATTACAGCGCTTAACTTTTTTTTGTACTAGAATTCCCTTAGTATATACAGAAGATTAATGTTATATACAGTAATATTAAGCTTCTAGCATTGTTCTCTCAAACTAAGTATTTTTAAATAAACAGAAATGAAGAGCCAACCTGGACATGCGTATTTGGAAACGTTGAAAACTCTGAAAGATATGCTAAATGATTTAGAAAGCAAGGCCCAGACATCGTTGGATGTCTTGAATGAACCTGCAAAGGTGGAGAAGGCCCTGCAGGAAAAAAAGGTAATATATATTTTAGGTCTTAGAAATCTAGAGTCACTTCTAATATGTCACATATTTTGAAATATATTTTTCAACTATTTAAAAAGCGTTAGTCATTTTTGGTCATAATTGGCCAAAAATTTCTTACAATTGGAAGCTACTATAATGTAGCACCTTAGCTAAAAGAAAAGATAGTCATATTAGATATTTTAATAGAATGAAACCATATTTTTCTTCTATTGTAATTAACTTAAAATTCTCAACCTATTTATAATCTAAAATATATTTAACAAAATGAACAATATCAATTAAATTGACGTGTTGTACTTTTTCCATGCTGAGGAAAAATGCTTCTCTGGTCATTTAGGGTACATGGCTCTGAACCATTTCATCAGATAAAGCAGGCCACCGAGTGAGCCCCACACCTGGGCCCTCACTGGGTGTGTTATTACAGAGGGTTTAGTGTAGAGAATGCACTACACTACACTACATGTGCACTCACCCACATACAACTCATGAAGGGAAAGCTTTAACTTTTCTGATTGTGCTTATTTTTTTGATGAATTTTTCACAGTCTTTGAAAAATATACTTTTATTGATTTTAGAGAAGAAGGGAAAGGGGGAGAGAGAGAGAAACATCAATGATGAGAGAGAATCATCAACCACCTGCCTCCTGCATGCACCCTACTGGGGATTGAACCAGTAACCAGGCATGTGCCCTGACTGGGAATCAAACTGTGACCTCCTGGTTCATAGGTCAGTGCTCCACCACTGAGCCACACTGGCTGGGCCACAGTTTTTTTTTGTTTTTGTTTTTTTATTTTTTATTTAATGCTTTTTAAAAGGTGACTTTTAATTGTTTATAGCTCACATTATTACATCTGTACAGGTAAATTGTTGTGCATATTGTTAATCTTTTAACATTTTCTTCCAGGCTCTTGATGAAATCCTTGAGAATAAAAAACCTACATTACTTAAACTTGCAGAAGAAACAAAGGCCTTGGAGAAAAATGTTTCCCCAGATGTAGGAAAAATGTATAATCAAGAATTTAATGATGTTCAAGGAAAGTGGAACCAAGTGAAGGTCAAGGTTTCCAAAGATCTGCATTTGCTTGAAGAAATTATCCCCAAACTGAGAGCTTTTGAGGTAAATCTAGAGGCTATTAGGAGTTTATGTTTATTCCAGGGTAAAATAGTAGTTATCATGTAAGACTCAAATATCTATTATTTGAATATCTTGCATTTTTTTCTACTGCCACATTTATTATGTACTTAAGTAGGGATTTATAACTTGCCTAACAAAGCTGTATGTTTACTGTGCTGGAGAGCACAAAGATAAGAGAAAATTACTTAAAAATGGTCAAAATAAAGTTTCAGGGATGAAGAGCTCACATGATATACAGACTGGTGACTAGATTGCAGGGGTACCTCAGAGTGGTCAAAGTTGCCCGGGTAGCAGCAGATACCTGAGTCTTTGAGGCTGGTCTTCTTTTTTAAGGCTTTAGATATTTGGAGTTGAAAAATCTGAACTAGGCCCTCAACAGACTGTGTCAGATTGGAAAAGCAGGTAATTTGAGGTGCACGAAAATTCAGAAATGGGATCCTTTGCTACGTATGAAAATGTCTACAGAGGAAGAAGCAATGATAAAATCCCAGAGGAAAGGATAAATGTGAGCACATAAGGAGAAAATGGTAAAAGTCAATGTCAGAATATTAAACACTTCCCTGTGAGGAAGATGGAGAAGTCGAGTTTCCAAACCGCCTGGTTTTGCAATAGGCAATATCTGGATGAAGAGTGATCCCATCATACTCACCCCCCACAGGCTCTGTGTCCTCCTGAGCCTCCTTACCTGAGTCTTTTGTGCATGTTTTTTTGCACGCAAGTATCCCAAAATGTGCTTCTAGAACAGAACCTGGCTCAGAGAAGGCACTCCATAAATATTTCCAATGCCTGAAATGAGATCAGTACTAGGAGGTTTAGCTATGGAACTACATATCCCAAGAGAACATATGTAAGAGATTATGTATATTTATATATTTGGATTTAGATCCCAAGAGAATTTGTGTTAAAGGTGATGTTAAAAAGGTGAGAAGATTAAAAATGAAGAAAATAATTATTGAGAATGATGGTTTAAAAATTAAAATCAGAGGACATGTAGTAGAAGAGGGTGGGGAAGGCTGTACAGATGAGTGTGAAAGGATCCAGAATGATGAGATGACAGTGGTGACCATTGAACTTGGAGGGAAGCTCTTTGGCCCAAGAACCAATGGACAGGTCCAGTGAATGACGAGGAGGAGAGTAAAGATGGCAAGGGTTTTGTGTGTGTGTGTGTGTGTGTGTGTGTGTGAGTGTGTGTGTGTGTGGTGGTGGTGGTGGAGGAGGAGGAAGGAAGTGGTTTTCTCTAAGTGTAAGTTTTAGTTCTATACTGAGATATCAATAGAATAAACCTGTAGTTTCCAATTGGTGTGCTGCAAGAATTCTTAAAACATGCAGTACTTGACCAGTCAGGGGGCACTGAACTCTTTTCCCTTAGATTGTAAAGTTAAAAAAAAAAAAAAGATAATAGCCAACACAGCAATAGCTGTACAGTGTGAACAAATCAAAATTACACCTATTTTTTTGTCAGGTTGGCAAAAAATATATTTTTTGGTGTTCCACCAAAGTTTAGTAATTAATTTATGTGTTCCATGAGATGAAAAAGGTTGAAATGGCTGGATTAAATCATTCATTTTGAAGAAGAGTATGTTATGTGTAGCTTAGTATTTTTGACTCACTTAACATTGTGAGTGGATCCACTTCCCCTCGTCTGTCTTCAGTTATAATTCTTTCCAGCTTTAAAAACCAGAATTACCTTTATTCACAATTCTAAAAATTTTGGGTGGTATCCAAGCATTGGATTATCAGTGGTTCTTAGGCCAGGGGTGATTTTGCCCCCTAGAGGACATTTGTTATTGCTTCCAGACAGTTTGTTTGCTGCAACATGGGAGAAGAGAGGGTGCTATTGGCTCTAGTGGTAGGGACCCAGGCTGCAGGTGAACATCCTACAGTGCACAGGACAGTAGTGCTAAGGTTGAGCAATGCTGGATTAAATCTTTCCCATCTTTTCAAAAGATCATTTTTTTTTCTCAAATTTTAATCCTAGATGTAGTTCAGGAAATTCATAGGTGAAGACTAACCCAAAGGTTAATCTACTTTTGACTCTTAAAAGTGTATTATAGGGAGAGGGAAGTTCGGGGTGGGGGGGGTGTGTGAGTAGCGAGAGATTAACCAAAGAATTTATATGCATATGTGCATAAACCATGGACACAGACAATAGTGTGGTGAAGGCCTAGGGGGGCCAGAGTAGGGTGGAGAGGGTTGAAAGGAAAAAAAGGGGGACACCCTATCTAATAAAAGATAAAAAGGGTAATTAACCGTACCTCCGCTATGCTTCCCATTGGCTAATCAGGGCGATAGGCAAATTAACTGCCAACAAAGATGGCGAATGGCAGCCAAGCAGCTGAAGCGAGCAGGAGGCTTGCATGCTCTAGTGATGGAGGAAGCCAAGGTTCCCCGCCTGCTGCAGCCCAGCTCCGAGCTCCGAAAGCAACAATGTTTCAATTATAGAAGCTAAACA